TGTTTCTTGCTCTTGGGGTGGGTGGTCGTTGCTGCTCAAGAGTAACATTTGTAAGAGAACCAATACAGATTGATTTTCCTTAGCTTTTTCTCCACCCTGAAGTGCTGAGACAAGCAAAACATGTTTCCATTACTTAACTAAGCAAACAATGGCATATAAATCATAGAGGCAGCTGGACCAAGGTGTCATTTTCATAAAGAGCCAGATTTCTCACCAAGGACAGTTTAATGGGCTGCTGCCAGTGAAACGTCTGCAGAGCTGGTAATTGCAGGAGGGCACACAAAGTGGTGTACAAAGGTGGCATGTGAGGGCTGAGAAATAGCCCCACAGCCAAGACAACTGGAAAAAGGAGACTGAAAAAGGTGTGAGCTTTAATAATTTGCTTCTTGAGGCTGATGGTTTTACATAAAAATCTAAGTTGGGGTTTTTTTTTAATTTTATTTTTAGCTTGTTCATGTTGGCTGCAAGATCAGAGAAGTGTTTTTAGCTGTAATTTTATTTTGATCATGTTTATGCTGTGGCTTTGTTTCTGCTTTGATCATGCTTAAACATGTTTCAGAAATGTTTGTTTGATGTGCTCTGTTTTTTTAAAGCACTCTTCCACGTTGTCTGCTTGTGTGTTTTAAAAACAATGAATCACTGCAAAATATTTGCTGTCAAATTATTTCTGAAATCCATTTTCCCAAAACAAGCTTTCTGGACTTCTTCTAGCCAATGGCAGGCTGTTTTTCAACAAGAATGTGTTGGACTGTTGTAGCAGCATTTCTGAGAGCTGCAAGGATTGGAGACTGTGTTAGGGTTGTAGAATACTTGCTCATTCATCCACAGAAATTTGAAGTTATCCCATCTATCCATAATGACTGCAGTGGACTTTTACAAATTGTTACTGGTGGGTTTGGATCAAAGTCCCACTTCCCATTCAATACATCTGGCTCGAAGATCATCCCAGCATTTCTTTTGTGGCTGTGTTGAATGTATGAAATAGGTCAACCCTGACTGACTGACTTGAAAGTTCCCATGGGGACCCCTTGATACCAAACCTGTTTAATTTTGCAGGGTGAGGCAGGGCAGGCTCAATACTTGAACATACACATTCATGGATGACATTCTTTCTTCTGCTGCATGGCTGAGCAATTAGGAGAGTCAAGGAGAAGTCCCTAATTCCCTCATCTGTGGACATCTCCCTTCCAGCCCTCAAAGAAGAGCAGTAAAAACAGGCTGCACAGTCCATGGAGAGGGCTGTGTTGCGTGACTGCTGCCCATCTGGCTGATTGATTTATCATGACCCCAAACAGTCAGCAGTAAGCATGGGCTGAAGCCCTGGAGATAAATGCAAGTGTGCATCAAGCCCCAGGCAAGTCAAACAGCTCTACCACTAATGAAACGATCGAGAACACTCCACACATCACTGGTTCACACCACCCACTTCTTAGCTTTAGAACCTATGAAATTGTCAACCACATCTCTCTCCCTCTCCACACATAGTATCATGATGTTGCTTTTGTGACCATCACGTTCATTCTGAGCAGAAATGAATCCGTTTCAATATGCAGCAGAACACGTGTAGCCTGTTCTGCCTTTATTTGCTTCACTGGACAGACATAGATCTGTTAGATGGAAGAGGGGGAAAAAAACCAACCATCACCAGGTAACAAGAGCAAGGGCCCTGTAACATGAAGAACCACTCTTTTATTGACTAAAACATATCGATTTAACTGGGTGGCAAAACAACCTGAGGTATGCTCAGTGTTGTTCAAGAAAAACTGTTCCATGATGTCCAATGGATGTGTTTTCATATGAGGCTGTGTGACCACTTTATTTTCAGGGGTTATTAACCACTCATTAAAAATCTGAATCCTTGTCAGGTGAGCACTGGTAAGAAGTGTCTACAAACATACTCATTAGTGTTATCTGCCTTCCACACATCCCTCTCCTCTGCTGCCACTCTGAGAATCAGTTGAAATACCTACTTTGAATTTACTCAACTGTTTTCCTCTCGTTCTTGTATCAGCTCTGCTTTAATGCTAGACTGTCTCACTGTTTCTAGGTTCACTTGCAAAATTATGAGAGGGAAAGAAAAGAATAATAATATGCTAACCGAGGGCAGGTTTATATAACCCCTGTTACATCAGCAATACTTTTGCCTCAAATGGGACTCCCCACAGGATCTTCTTAGGCCGGTGTAAAGTTAGATTTTTGATGCTTGATAATCTAGTGATTTATTTTAGAACTTGATATCTTGCGATTTACAAAACCCATTGTGCTAGAAACAAATCATTCAACCGTTTGGGAACGGATTTAGGTTGTGGTTGAATGCCATTTTTTACCCTTTTTCATTAAGACCTTAAGAATATAAAAGCAGCATATTCAGAGAAGAGGTTCTCCAGATCAAGTAGCAAAGAATAGTGTCTACTAATGGGTGTCCTCCTTCTCTGATGGATCCTTCCACAGGCTGCAGTGCAGAAAGTTTTCAAGCTGTAGCCCTTGTTTCTTGAGATAAAAGTTGCATGCAAACCCTGGTATATCATATATAAAATAATAGATGTTTGCCATGGAACAATATAGTCTTGATATTATTTATCTTGGGTCTCTTGTCAGTGTAACTTGAAGGCTATCAAATGTATGCTAGAAAGAAAGGAAGTGCATTTAATACCTTAAGTTACTGGAGTTTGGGATGGAGAGCTTTGATTGCTTACAGATTTTTCATGTTTTCAGATGCCTAAAATATTCATTTTAACAGACATTAGGTAGTAGACACAGTTCCACGGAGATCTGTGCTGTGGGCTCTGTTGCTCAATGTGTTCATAAATCACCTGAAAAAGAGGCTGAGCAACAGGATGAGATTTTTTTTTTTGTCACAGGATACTAAGTTATTCAGCAGAGTGAGACAAAGAAAGACTGTGAAGAATTACAAAAGGATCTTATGCAACTGGGTAGCCAAGCAATTAAATGACAAATTAAATTACACTTGATGAATGATGCAGTGGTAAACCATGGAGAAAACCAAGAGGGAAACATGCCTATCTTCACATGTAAAAGAATGGGCTGTGGACTGTGGCTGTGCACTGTTGATTAGGGTCTGGAGCATCACTCTTATGAGGGAGAGACTGTGGGAGCCTGGGCCTGTTTAGTCTAGAGAAGAGAAGACTGAGAGAGGATCTCATTAGTGCATATAAATATCTCAGAGGCATGTGACAAGAGGATGGTGCCCCATGACAGGATGGGGAGCAATGGCCATGAATTCAAGCACAACAAGTTCCACCTCAACACGAGGAAGTTCTTTACATTGAAGGTGGCAGAGCACTGGAACAGGCAGCCCAGGGAGGTCATGGAGTGTCCTTCTCTGGAGACATTCAAAACTGACCTAGATGAGTTCCTTTGAGGGCAGAGTGGCTGGAGAGCACCAGGAGAAAGGGACCTGGGAGTGTGGAGAGACAGAAAGCTGAACATGAGCCAGCAGTGTGCTCAGGGGGGCAAGAAGGCCAATGGCATCCTGGGCTGGAGCAGGAACAGTGTGGTCAGCAGGACCAGGAGGTGATTCTGCCCCTGCACTCGGTGCTGGTGAGGACACACCTTGAATCCTGTGCTCAGTTCAATTTCACAGAGGAATGGGACTCTGAGTAGTTATATATAGCTCACAATTAATTATCCCAGCAGGGTGTAGAATGGTTAGAAAACAGATTGGTAAATCTGTTGGATGTGCCTGCTTTGTCCAAATATAGTGGAAGTTATCAGCTGAAGAATCTCTGTAAGATGCAGTGATGAGCCAAATTCACCACTGGCATGA